AGTGAATCCTAATCTAAAAATAACCTACCTCACTTACACTACTATCCTTCCCGAGATAGCCGTGGAGATGTAGAAGTATTCTCGGTCTCTAGTAACAACCGGACGTAGAACTTATCATCCTTCCCTCCCCAAAAGACCGGGAGGACGTGGCCGGCGCTGTGAATTGATCTATAGAATGAATTAATGTGCTTGTACATTGAAGATGGAAAGCTTATCCCATGCACCCATATATGTAGTTCTCTGTGCAAGTGGATTAGTTGTGATCATTCACGGATGAGCAACTACGAAGTGCACGGTCAGATAACGTTAACTCGGCGGTAAACACATTCATTGATACGTTTATTGTTGTGGATGATAGAAGAGCATAGCAGAAATAGTGCGAAATAGGAAGCTATGGTCATCACAAAAGAGGAAATCGAAAAAGCGAATTGGCTTTCACCCTTCTGCTTCTAAGCCCCTTACAGTCATCGTCATAGCATCGCATCGCTTTTGGTTCTAGGGCACTTGCTGGTTGCAATTTTTAGATCAGCATTCACTGTGATGCGATCAGTTGTAAGCAGCAGAAATTTCCTTCTTGTGGAATCTTTTAGTGGCTCTGAAAAGGGCCGGTTTTGATAGATTTCGACGGAAAAATTAAGAGCGTTCACCACAAATACGAAGAGCCAGCTTAATGTCCTTTGGCATAATTGTGACACGCTTGGCGTGAATGGCGAACAGACCGACCAGATAGGTAGTTTTATTTCACTCATCGAGGGTATACTTATACCTGCGTCGAGTAGCATATCATTAATACAGGGAGGGTACAATACATACAGTGGGAAGCAAAATACTGAAAAGGGGAGGAGTTTCACTTCTTATGCTACGGGCACAAAACGAGACACCACCGTCGAAACGACTATCAGTTATTCTCTACCGAAGCGAACAGCTAAACTATGGCACCGAAAACCAGTGAAAAGGCCGCCAAGAAGTCCGGAAAGGCGCAGAAAGTCATCGTCAAGGGAGAGAAGAAGAAGAGGAGACAGCGCAGGAAAGAAAGCTATGCCATCTACATCTACAAGGTGTTGAAGCAGGTCCACCCGGACACCGGAGTCTCGTCGAAGGCCATGAGCATCATGAACAGCTTCGTCAATGACATCTTCGAACCTATTGCTGCTGAGTCGTCCCGTCTGGCTCAATACAACAAACGCTCGTCGATCACCTCCCGCGAAATCCAAACTGCGGTTCGTCTGCTGCTGCCGTGTGAGTTGGCCAAGCACGCTGTCTCTGAAGGAACCAAGGCCGTCACCAAGTAAATTCGTACCATCCAAACAATCAATCGGCCCTTTTCAGGGCCACAAATCGATTTCCAACGTGAAAGAGGTTTTGATGATTTATTGAACTTTTAAATGTTCGAAAGCAGCGTTAGCAAAGTTCGCGATAAGAAATCAGTTGATTTGCCTTATGAACATAATGTTGACAAAAAGAATAAGAGGTTGCATCCATGACACGACCGTACGGTTTTGACGTAGGACGTCTGTGATTTCTATATGGGGTACGCATTGTGAAAACCGATTATGGAACATGAATTGTGACACGCTTGGCCTGGATGGCGAACAGACCGACCAGATAGACCTCGCTGAATTCCTGCAGGGCCATTAACGGCCGAGCTCTGGAAGCGCAGATCGGTCTTGAAGTTCTGGGCGATTTCACGGACCAGACGCTTGAAAGGCAACTTGCAGTCAGCAGCTCGGTCGATTTCTGGTAACGACGGATCTCACGCAGAGCGACAGTTCCTGGCCGGTAGCGATGAGACTTCTTCACTGCTCCATCTGTTTGAGAGGAGCCTTTTCTCCGGTGGACTTACGAGCGGTCTGCTTGGTGCGGCCATTATACGATGTGGATACGATGAACGCAATCTGTTGAATAAAAAATTTAAAATATAAAAATGAGGTAAGGAAAATAATTAAAATGGCTGAATAAAGATACACATTACCATTTATTATATAAGACCACGTAGTCCTACGTCACCATTGCGTACAACCCCATAGGGCTGTCCCTTGTAGTTTTTCAACTCGAGCACTGCATCGACACCAGCGGCCTTCATGTTCTTGGTTGATTTAATGGCTGCTATCACCAGAGCTGCGACCTATCACAATCACGCTGATGGTAGTAACGCTTTGTACATTCCTATCAATGTGCTCGTCGAAGCTCTCTCCATGACCATCCATCAAGTTGACGAAAGAAGTAAAAAGCAACTGGTGAATGTCGTCTTCTGTTGTGATCTATCACCGATCTGGTCATTCCTGACAATCATGACACTCGTCTGTGCTCGTTTTGAAGCAGTTGCTGCTTTGCTTGCTTATGTGAGTGTGTTGGTGAGTGAGCCCAACAGCTTCCGTTCAATGTTGCCTGCTTTGTTTGTAACTCACACACTCGCGCCTGCCGAGACGAACTTGGAATGCGTAGGCATTGTTTTCATTTTCTTCTGTCGTTTCGCTTTTTCTCATGATCGTACTGCAGCAGTCTTCACTGTTTTCGTTGTGCTGTTCATTATCAGCAGCGAGTGTAACGTTTTGCTTGTGAGCAGCGACCATTACTGGTGATTGTTGTTTGCCATGGCTCTAACTCTCACTGCGTGACAAAACGATCTGTCGGCGATAGTCGGTTGATGCGAAGACGAGTGTCACGTGAGTGTTATGATATTTTGCATCACTGGCTATCACCTCATCAGCCAATATTCTACTTTCGTCAGGCCATTGCCTCCGATACTGCAGGCTCGTAGGGGACTCACCACGGCTTGGCCAAGGTTATGTGAATTTACAAAGTGTTGGCCAAGAGCATTGGCCTTTTCAACTGGGACCACGAGTAAGGATGGATCCAAATTCTGATTAAGAGGGGAAAGGGGAGGGATAGGCATCGGCTTATTTAAAAAAAAAATCTTTGCCATTTTCCAGAACGGCTTAGCACAATCTGCGAGAAAGCGAATCTTGTTTGCAAAATCGTTATTTCTGAGATCCACCATCCATTGTTTAAACGGTTGCAAGTGGTCTTCAGTACGCTTACTGTTTACGAATGGTGTTGCAATTAGGTCTTTAGTGGGCCTGTCAAGGTTTAGAGTATTACTTGCCTGTCGGGCTGCTGGCACATGTTGCTCTCTGGCCCGGGAAATCGCTTCATCGATGGAGTGCAGACACCGGTCGATGTCGTCGGTCGTTTGTGGATGGACGTCATAGTCGATACTGGTGTCAACGCAGCGTTGTCATTCCGTAGTCGTTTATGAGCAGTACTTATCAGTGCTGTTGTCCTCATCCCTTCGTGAATTATTGCCCACAGCTGACTGGCTGATGTCGAGTTCATTATCTGAGTGGGCTCCAGAACCGTCATACTTCCCTATTTCCACTATGATACGGATCCATGAGTTTGTCGAGATGACATTACACAGCAGGATCTTTTGTTATCCTTTCGAGCTAGGAATTTGTGAGGGTAGTGTTACGTTGTTTGCTAGAATCCCTTCGAAGTTATTTTGTACAAAACGTGTGCTTTGCGGAGCACGATTTGAAAGCTTCTGGTCGATATGACCCGATTGAAGTCATGTTATCTGCACCCCTATCGCTTGGTTAAAATTCCACAATGTAGCTTCCGGTTTAGTTTGATTGCACTCTGAATCTTTGTCTAATGTCAGAGATTCTTGCTACATATTCCACTTTGAATCACCGACGTAGACCATAATCTACCAAGCTACATCGACGTTGTCTTACACCGTTTTTGGCCTAAAAACCTTGTTCCACAAATAAACGAAACGTGATTCATTGGTTGAGAACCAGTAGCGATAGCAAAACCCATAGCAGTTCCTCCAAACCAGCAGCATCATACTTAGACCACCCTTTCAAGTACCCGCGCCATATTGAACGCTGAATGATCTGCATCATCAAAAGGTATAGATATTTAATGACGAACGATTGCCGCTTTGCTCTGTATTCCATTTCTGTTTCTGGGTGTGAGATTTCATACGGCGGCTATAAATAGCCTCTGGCAATTCTTCATACATCTCCTCATAACGTATAACTACACAGTGTCATGATTTCTTGCTATCGCTTCTCGGAAATACATATAGCATCGCTTAACCCACCAACCTACACTACAAGGAATCCCACGAGCCGGAGATGGCTCTCCGCTCCACGTCGTCGTCGTCATTTGTCATGTGAGATCGGAAGGGGCGGCTGCTGGCCTGATGCATCGCATCCATCCGCCCTCTTTTTTTTATCCAACGCGTCGCGTAGCTTATGGTCTGGTCTGGTCCACTACCATCAGCAGAGCATACAGCAGGAGCAGTGACGTTTGGGTGGTAGAATGCCAATTTAATTTAAATATTGCTTCTTTTCGATTGCATGGTCTGATGGCGCGGCACCGCGATTCCGCATTCGAGATAAAAACGGCAGCAGAGAGAGACGTCAACGTTTCCTATTTTGCTGTGATTTGATTTGAATATATTGAAAATGTATTGGTGCAGTCATCGTTGTTAAGCGAAGTACTTCAAAGGCAACTCCCGCGAATCTGTTACGTGATCTGTTAATTGATTTTATTGTGCTTTCTTGCTGTGCATATTGCCTTGCCTGGCCGCGCCACGCCGACCGCCCGAGCTGAGGAATGTGTTTCGCGACATCATCATCATCATCATTTTTCTGCGTTTTTCCTCGTCGAAGCGTTGCGGCTTCTTTTGTGCAAGCGTAGATGTGGAGCAGCAGATTCCTTGCTATATGTGTGTAGTGTTGTAGTTGCGCTATTGTGTTGAAGGGAAAAAAAGCTGCAAGCTCAAGATGGAGACTCTGGAATGTTGTAGCTGTGTGGCATTGGGTTTTTAACTATTTATTTCATGCAATTCATAGATTTTTAAGATGCCTTTCTCATAACAAGGTTGTTGTTGGCAAGTCATGTACCAGCAATGTCCACGAAAAGAATAACGTTTGAATCTTTCTGTCCTCTGTAATTCATGCAGCCAATATGCTTTCCCTCCCATACAGACAAGATGCGGCCAACTTCAAGGCACCCGGCTTAAAGCTACTGGTCAACAAGAAGAACATCCACCGGTTGATGAAGGTTCGCGCCGAAAAGGCATCCGACAGTATCAAAGGAACGGTTTCCCGAACCATAGGCAATCAAAGTGGAGAAGATGTCGATAGCGAGGAACTGGAACGGGAAACACAGAAGGAACGCGATGATAAGATTACGACTGAGGTAACGTATCTTTCCACTGACATTCAATGCGATCTAGTATCGTATGAGGTAATCGGTTGCTTTTGTTTGCAGAAATTGAATCAAATCAAAACCAAGCTAAACATGAAAAAGAAGAAACTGGCTAATTCAACCCTACCGGCCCCGGATACGGAAATGATCATCAAAGAAGAGAAAACTCCCATCGCTCGCCCTACCTATTCGGCTGGACCGATCGGTTCGGCGATCTCGCACCATCCACGTCCGCTGTCCCAAACCGCCACCATAGCTACGGCCACCCGGGAACCATTCTTACCGCATATCAACTTTCATAATGCCATCACCCGACAAACGGCGACGGAGCTGGACCGTCATTCGCAGATCCGTGAAAATCTCCAGCGTAATCGTTCCTTTAAGACCATCAGTGCTAAACACTTCAATGTATCCGCCCACGACATGACGGCCCACGACTCGAGCAGGCTCGAACGTTCGCTGTCATTTCACTCGAACGGCATACAGAACCGCATGGATTCCGATTCCACAGTAGGAAGAGGAAGCCGCAGTGCTCACAGTCAATCCCAGCATCAGCTTTCGTCCGCTTCGCTGCACGACATCATCGAACTGCTCAAGTACACACCCTCCAAGCTCCGGACCATTTCCCACGACGCATTGAATAAAATGATATCCAAGAAGCCACACCACCACACTTCGACTAAACTGTTGGAAAATAGTTCATTGAAGAATATTGACGAGTTCCTCCGGGACTATGACGTTACAATGACCAACCGTGTCAAAACGGCAACGGCCACGACGACGACGGCCGGCGACTGTTCGAATCTGCTGGCGGCGGAAAGTGTATTCAATAAGGAAACGGGATTCGCTTCGGCGGAGATCGCCTTTGACAAAGGTTCCAACGCGGGAACGCTGGATAAGACGTTCCGGACGCTGTACAAATCAACTTCCGATGGTAAGCATACCGATACCTGTTCCGGGCAGTTCCGGGCGAAATAGGTAATCCGATAGGCTCTTGGCTCACTTCCTATTTCATAAAATGTCAATAGGAGAAAACATGAATCTTTGGTGTAGTTGTTAAAGTGATTCTTCTCAACTCATTTGCTTGTGTAAGGAGGCTCTTATTCACACTTGGGAAAATAGTTATCACGAATAGATTCATGTATTCTTAAGTTTATTTTTCACATATCTCGGTCGGAACTGCTCTGTTTGAACGGTTTGAATGGCGGATAGTGGAATAAGGCCTGTGTGATTCCAATAAGCCTAGAATCTGTGAAGAATTTCTATCTTTCGCCCAGTAACTTTTATGGAAGACGAAACACGATAAAAACGGAGTAGGAACTGTACCGATTCAGTTTTTCATTGGCTCACTGTCACATTTTCGCCCGGCCTTCATGAGGTTGTAGTGAGTGAGTTTTATTATACAAATAAAACTCATGCTCATAGTTTGTCATACAAGTGTATCCGTGGCAGATGTATTTTAATATTTTATGCGTACAACAATTTACATCGTTATGAACTTTGATTCTAATGTAACGTTTGGTTCTGTTGTCATTGGATGTATTCTGATGTTTTATGCCCGCAACAAATTACATCGTGATGACGTTTGCTTCTTATGTAACGTTTAATTCTGATATCAACGTATGTATCCTGATGTCAAATTTTACATCGCCAAGACGTTTGATTCTAATGTAACATTTGAGGCTAATGTATTTCGGACCCGTACAGAAGGCCGAAACACAAAAGGCCGAAAATGTTCTAAGGTACCACAAAAGGCCGAAAATCGAAAAGGCCGAAAGCCAGAAAGACCGAAAACCAAAATGGCCGTAAATTGATCAAAAACTAAATTAATTGAAAACCGCATCCAAACAATCTGTTAATGTTATTGCACTTTATGTTTCGTTTCAGAATGAATAGAAATATCAATTTAATTTAAACCCCTAGACATGCTGTTCACAATGGCTGTGAAAAAGATGCAGCGACTTAGAATAGTTTTTAATACCCGAAAAATTATATTTTTTTTCATTAATAATGTTTTATTGTAATCTTGACAAAAATAGTAAATCTTTGAAATTTATAATCAAAGAATAATATTAAAACATTGGAACATTTTTGTCCTTCTTATTGCATATCAAAAATGAAATGTTATGAATGAAAAACGTATTTTTATCGAAGTTGCATCGCAGTTCCTGAAATCAATAATAAAAAAAAATGTTGCTTAAGTTCTTTTTGTTTTGACGACGACAAAAGAGCACCGCTGTCAACAAAGTTTACATCGGTGATATCGTCACTTTTCAAGCATATTTCTTTGATCTTTTCCAGATGGTTTCGTGATCCTTGTTGAACGTCGCCTTGCAATATGCGCAGAATCCGTCCTTCAATTGCCTGCTGCTCGGTTCGCAATTCCAGGATTATTCTGGTAATTGATAAATGGTTGCATCCAACAACCTTTGTCCACCGCCTATGCCAAGCTTCGAGTGAATTGGTCGTTAAAGGCACTTGCTCCTTCACCACTTTGTCATTCGACCAGAGGGCAGGATGAAACATCGGCCTATTGTTGCTGTTTCGTCCTGAAACGTATGTAACATTGAAATATTCAAGGAAGCCAGCTAGTTTTACCGGCATATTGGCCTTGATGCACTCGAATGCTCCTGCAATTCTTGAAAACGGTAGAAATGATAGTGCCTAAAAAACAAAAACGCTAATCTGCATTCACCCAGCGATTACTTAATACTAACCTGTAGGCGTTTAATAGGCATGTATACATCCATATCATTGGAATACATAGTTTTCAGTCCCCGGAAGTTCAGCTGTTTGATTAAATGTTGTGCAAAGTGAAAGTAGCACAAATAACATTCTGCATCCGGAAAGATATCCTTCATTACATTAATAACTGCTTTCTCAAAATCAGAGATGATGAACTTGACGTAGTTCAATCTGTGCTTCCTGACATACTTCCAGTAATGCTTCAAATGCGCATGTGTAAGTCTCTTGTGTTTTGTTTTTCAGAAGCATAAATACAAGGGGTACAACTGCGTCGTGATTCTGATATGGAATGGATCCGTGGATAGAGTACATTTGTGTGAATTCCAGAGGAATGGTTGCGAATGTACCATCAACCAGCCAAAACCGGGAGGCAGCCAAGCGCTGAAGGTTTGGTAAGGTTGTAAAAATCATAATATGTGTTCTTTCGTTGCGGATGTATTTATGCAAGAAAAGCTGACCATCCAGCGTTTTCTTAAGTTCCTCTGGAACGATAAATTCACCATCCTGTTCAATCACACGTAGTCCACCACCTGCTTGCCTTTGCCTCAGAATCAACAATTTTTGCGATTTGTTTGATGCTCGGGTTTGGACGATAGGTTCCGTTTTAGTTCAGCTTTGTAATTTTTCTCCATCCCGTCCAAAGGGTTAACATCATGATTATGCACTTCCTTATGCACAACTAAAATGTGGACGCCATTTTGTAATCTTGTAATCGCACGACTTTTGCAGGCCTCGTCAATGTTTTTGGCATGTTTTCTGGTGGCACAGTCCCAGTAGAAACGATCTTTAGCCTAATTTTAAAATAATCTTTTGATAAACAAACTATAACCATCAGTTAATAAGAAGAATTAACTCCTTGTTTACGTTGTACAGAAATCCATTGACACTCAGCATCTCCTTTCCTTTTTGGGAAATAACCACTTTCACTACTGGCACAACTTCTTCATCGGAAAACCCATTGAACTCTTCTTCAATCGCACTCATTTTCTTTCTAACACCAACCCAAATTTCGATCAAATCAAAGAAACGTGATGTTTACGATTCAAAATCCTCGCTGCCAAAGTAAAAAAAAAATAATGAAAAGCACCGAGCGGAAGCAATAGATCAGTGCACGGTCCCTAACCTCACTTTTTGCTCCCTATCATTTTGCTTCTGAGTAAAAGAGATAGCAACGAATGGGAGCCAAAACAAACCACCCAAAACTGTCAAAACTTACGGGTGAGAGAAGAGTGCGGCAAATCTTCGTGAACTGATCAATCATGCCCTATCGCTTTTTCTCTCATTCAGATTCTGTAGCTTTTCTGCTCGCACAACTGACTCGGCTCGTTAAGGCTGTGAACCATTTGCCGAGTTAAATTTAACTCGTAGTTAAAAGTGACATTTCGAAAGTTATTTCTTATGTTCGAAAATCCCCGTGCTGTCGATCGACCGGTTTTCGAGCCACGGTCGTCAAAATTTAACTTCTTGTATGTCAGAAATAACCACGCTCGGATAGCAGGGTTAATCGATAACTTTCCATCTGTCAAATTTTAACCAAAAGTTAAAATAATCCACCAAATGGTTCAGAGCCTTAGTCGATAACTTTCCATCTGTCAAATTTTAACCAAAAGTTAAAATAATCCACCAAATGGTTCAGAGCCTAAATGGTTCGCATTCACAAAAAATATAGCCAAGATGAAAATAGATATAGAGGTGTTCTCACTTGCTGACTTTTTGTGAATAACCAGTAAGTGGTAAGCTGCTGGTAAGAAAATAAGAGATGCGACAGAGGTGAACGGTTTATTTACGCATATGCAACATTCTTATTGGATGGCAAGTTGTGCAAGCAGTTGAATGTAAGTAACTAGAACGTTCAGCAAAACTTACCAAGAGCCATATCGATGCTAATGACGATTTTCGATTTGAGAATACCTTCTTCCATATTGAATTTCATCTTGAACGAAGCCACCTCATTGAATACTCAAACATCCGGAAAAATAAAGCTAACTATCACTTTCTCTCTCATTCAGCATCTGAAGCCTTTCTGCTCTTACAACTGAGTGCACCTCGTTGAATGGTCCGCATTCACAAAAAAACGAATCCATCTTGCCATTAAATCGTCGTTACACACTCAAACAAACATAAACATAAAACTACCCAAATTTTAAGTTTTTTTTTAAATTTCATTACGGAAATCGAATGGCTATTAAGTAGCTTCCATTATATTTTAAATCGAAGATGCAGAATAATAATTATTGTAACTTTACTTTAAAAATGAAATTTAATTTATTAAAAACAACAACTTTGTCGCTTTTCCGAGTTTTTTCGGCCTTTTGTGATTCGGCCTTTTGTGATCCGGCCTTTTGTGAATTTCGGCCTTTTGTGTTTTCGGCCTTTTGTGATTCGGCCTTCTGTGATTCGGCCTTTTGCGATTCGGCCTTTTGTAGTACTCCCATGTATTTTTTATGTACTTGAAGTCTGAATACATTAAGGGTACGGCAACACACATTAAAATTTAATGTTTTGAAGATGTCTGCTGATATTTCCTACATTACAATTTCTATTCGGGTAATGCCTTGATAAGTGAAAATAAACATACTTTTGGGCCTTTTTGTTTTACCGTGTATACACTGTTGAGCTAATTAACTCGCTAAACGCCGGGGCCGATGGTGTAGTGGTGTAGTGGTAAGCGTTACTGCTTTTCACCCCAATGGGTCTGGGTTCAATCCCAGCCGAGATCGGTGGGATTTTTCTGAGGCATAAAAATCTCCGGTGTCTTCCTTCGGAAGGGAAGCAAAGCCGTTAGTCCCGGCTTATGTGTGTTGAATGGGTACGATATCCTACGCAGGTGAGGAAGCTGTCTTCCTGCACATTTTTCATAGTACGGAATACCAAAAATTAGGCCAGAGATCTCAAAAACTTAGCGTCTCAGAGTATCGAAAATTGGTTAAGCCCAAGATAGTGATAGAGTGTTCCTAAATGATTCCAATGATAACCCCAAACAATTTCTAATACCCCGTACAGACCGAGGGGGGCGACACATCTAAATCTCAATCATAGATGCTCGAAAAATCTCACGCCAGCGAATAAATCTACGAAAAATCTTCTTGCCATTTTAAGGATCTAAATCCATCTACTCGCATCGACTTCCATCTTTTTGCAGGAAATCTTCAAAATCTTCATCAATCTTCTTAAAATCTACTCATCGTA